TTTTAAGTGTACAATAATTATACAGCCGCCTTGATGTTTTGTTTTTAGCTTGTTAATGACCTTATGTGTATATTATCTAACACGCGCACGTCGCTAAAGCGACCAACTTCATGCTGTTACTTTTGTGTTTACCGCACATTAAGAAAATCTACCAACAAAATAGAAATAGAATCTCTATTTAGAGGGTGCTAACGACTAACTTTTAAGTGTACAATAATTATACAGCCGCCTTGATGTTTTGTTTTTAGCTTGTTAATGACCTTATGTGTATATTATCTAACACGCGCGCATCACTGTAACACAAAATATTAACAGCATGAAGTTGGTCGCTTTAGCGACCAACTTCATGCTGTTACTTTTGTGTTTACCGCACATTAAGAAAATCTACCAACAAAATAGAAATAGAATCTCTATTTAGAGGGTGCTAACGACTGCATTGTGAAGGCCTATCAAAAGTATTTATTAATCTGGAACAACGGAACCAAAGCGCGATTCAGGAGACTACAGCGCCATCTCTTGACCATTGGTGTAGTAGAACCAAAAACCACATCTTTATTTTTTGTAATAAAGTAACAGTTATAGGTATTCATATTTATAATATTTATCCACATGTTTCTAGTTTGTATATTCGGAATACGTGTTTGAGTTTCATACAAGTGCAAATCACATATGTTCTAATAAATTATATTCAGTAGCGATTTTAATTGAATATTTTGATTATTTATTTATTTTTTCAAATTAAAACTGAACTTTATTGATTGTGTCCTTTTCCAGACTTTTTATTAATTTATTGTAATTAATTATTTGCATGCAATTAAAAACTAATTTTAAACGATGCCAAAGAAGGATAATTTCTCACGCGCCTACATAAGTACACGCACCCATTTTTTTTTAATTTCATCATATTATTTAAATTATTTTAGGCTTAAGATGACAAATAAACGATTCATTTTGTATTTATAAACACAAATTAACTTTACTAACTAAGTATTAAGAAACATTTATTTATGCTTAAAGTTTTTTTTATATTGCTGCTGTTCCGTCTGCTCAGTCGGTCTTTAAACAGACTTCAAAAAAGGATATTTTCAGTTTGATCTGTATGTATGCATGTTTGACCATGACAATCTCAAAGCTACGGATCCGAATTGGACGGGGTTTTCGCGCATATTAATGCGTAAATACGCATTTCTGAGAAGGTTTTAGTATATAATTTACTAGCAATGTCTCACGGTTTTACCCGTGTGGATCTACGTTTGTACAATTTTCAACTAGTAGCGTATTCTGTGTAACACTAAAATACGAAAATAATTAATTTTTAATAAAAATAAAACCGAATTAAAAAAACTGATTTACCGCCTGATATACTTGAAGTCGATGCCAAGGTATGTGTTTAGCAGGGAGATCGTGATAATAATAACGATCGACTTCACGGTAAATCTTATTTTACATTTTTTGTATTTTTGAAATCGGTTATATTTTTATTAAAAATTATTCCTGTACCGTTATTGAACCCGTGAGCGCATTGATAAATAATATTTGCGCAATTTTAATTCAACCTCGCCGGAAATACTTATCGAGGCACAAAACGCGAGTGATAGGCTTTTGCCGCCGGTTGATTTATGAATATATTACAGTAACATGACGACATTTCTAAAGCGACGTTCTGATGGATATATTGGTCGAAAGTCAAAGGTATTGTCACCAACCGATTTTAAAAAGTTTTGAAGGTAGCTCCTTAATGTCAAAATACTTGGCAACAAAGCTGCAAAGGTCAGTTGAACTTTATAACAGTTACTAACTACAAGTTTGTTTTTTCGTCGCAATTGTGTTGAAAAACGTCGTATGTAGCTCGTGTGCATTGATCATTACACACTCAGCTTCCTTACCGACTTATCACACTTGAATCACTGTTATAATGTACAAGTAAATATTACATGTAAAAAAATATAATTGAGGATTAAGCATTTTTTAAAAAAGAAACCTATGCCTAATCATATAAGTACAATAAAATATTGATATATTCGCATTTAATTAAGTACATCTTCTTCAAGTATTTTATGAGCTACATTTAAAACCTGGTACATATCTACAATATTTTCCCTCTTACTTGGGTAGCAGTTGGGCAGCTGGCTACACGATTTATGACATTTAATAGCATCACTGTAAATTGACATGCACACACTACAATAATGAGTTGCCGCATTTTATGGAGCTGTTGTTTTTTGACAGCGCGGTATCTAGTCGAGTGAAGCGAGACCAATCATTCATCTATGGATATCACTTCATAAAAATAGAAGATGGCTGTAGTCATTTCATTTGAATAATTGTTTTTAGTCCATTTTTTAAACACTAAAAACGCTGTCCTCCATGATTGTGACGTCACAAAATTTGTAAACAACTAAACGTCATTGTCGTGTTACTGTGGTTTCTTTCGTCGGACTAAAATATATCTAAAAAAACTTATATCTTGTAGAAAAGTTTCCGTTTATTGGTTTTTTTGACTTAACTAATGCTGGACGCCGGATTTGTGAAAGCAGAAACGACAAAATTAATTGACTTAGTAGGTAGTACATTCATAACCTTAAAAAATATATTATCCTAGTGGCACGCCCTCGCTTCGCTTCGGTGTAGAGCTGTAGTGTAGAATTCAATTTTTTCTTCCCTTTTAAACTTTCCCTAGACCTCCACGAACATTTCAAGACCATGATAAGACAAATCCGTTCAGCAGTTCTCGAGTTTTAGCGAGATTTTTATAAATAAAAAATGGATGCGTGTAACTTATGTACGCGCGTGAGAAGTTATACTTCTTTAGCATAATTAAAAATATTTTTTAATTGCATGCAAATAATTAATAATTACAATAAAATAATAAAAGGACTGGAAAAGGATAGTTAACACAGTCAATTAAGTTCAGTTTTAATTTGAAAAATTAAATAAATATTCAAAATATTCAATTAAAATCACTACTGAATTTAAGTTATTAGTCCATATGTAATTAGCACTTGTAAGTAACTAAAACACGTTGTGTCTATATAGAAACTAGAAACATGTGGATAAATATGAAAACAGTGATCAGAGGCGACGAGCGTGCCAACATTGTTTTTGACAACGCGATCATCTTATGGAGCTCCGTGGATCGTTCAAAGTACCTTTCGAACAGATGTCTAATAATGGTGGATTATTAACCACTAAGTGGTTAATAATCCACCATTATTAGACACTAACATTCATAACGCGCCCGCGGCCAACTTCATGATGTTACTTTTGGGTTACAGTGCTGCGCACGCATCTAAAAATTTCACTCTCATCATTTTTTCATAACGCGCCTAAAGAAGTATAACTTCAAAAATATATATTGACTTAAGCGAGACTAACGAACAGCAATTAATTTTTCTTAAATATTTATTAAACTTTAAATATTATTCAATGAGTACTTACATCGAAGTGATCTTCGGTAAAAGAAATGACTTATAGTCAATAAAGTTACAGGATTTGTAAAGTTTTAGTTTAAACATATGTTCATGTGTAGGTATGTGTTTTTCTCTAGGCAATTTAAACCACATTTTTCTGAAGTCTCTAATGATGTGTTTCCACGTTTTCGTATAAAACAATCATGATGATTACTATATTGTTCATGTAATCTATTAGAAATCATGGTTTTATAATAGGTATAAATTAATTCATACGTGCTTGCGAGTGTTTGTTTACAAATGTTTGACGTCATAGCATCTAAGCATAGCATAGATAAATCTATAGACTAAAATGGACGACAGCGTTTTTATATGTCCATACAAAATAAATTTTAAAATTAAAATTTTGTAGCTATCTAAGGTAAAAAAATACATTTTTTTCGGTCTAATAGAACAATTAATAACCATCTAAATCATATTTCCAAAAAGTGTCAACTAGCCTATTGCTGTCGCGTTGTGTACTGGCCAATCTAAGTAGTCTGTGCTGTGGTACTGACACACCGTGGTATTTAATGATCGTGTAGTGTAGTGTGTACTGACAGATGTTAATATTTAACACAAGGTGTCATTCCGGAATTCAGCAATTTAGAAAAATATCGACATTAATCATTAAACCTGCTTTCACCCACTGATGAACCACATTATAAACTAAACGTCTAGCTGCCGCCTAAGGCAGTTAAATTAAGAACTGATCTGGGTAAGTATTTACCTCCTTTTATTAGCTCTTTTAAATTAGCCGTTAGTAACGGCTTATTTATTAACGGCTCGTTACTATTATGCATTAGTGTTGATTGTTGTAATATATTTTCCGTGCTTTATTAAATTAAGAAAATGCCTCAACACGGAAGCGGAAAAAAAATCAATCTTTCACCCGCCCATATCTACTTATTTCGCTCCCGCCAAAACAGATTGATTTTATATATGCATGTATTGGGAGACTAGATAGTGATAGATTTAGAGAGAGTGTTAAGATCACAGAAAGAGGACCTCTTTCTATATTCTGTGGTTAAGATGATCTCCGTGCCTGCGTTTTACAAATCAACCAATTGGTTTACTTGTTTTTAACTCCCCTGATGTTGTTAATTAGATGAGTTTAGACGAGAATGTCATGTCCTGTGTTTGAAACTACTTACTTGCCTATCTACCAATAAATGTTGTTTGCGAACTTATATCGTTCAGTAAATTTCGCAACGGTTTTGTTTTCTTATTCAATTTCAAACAAGTTTTCCCAGTATTTGTCACAACGAACGAAGCGATATCATGATGGACGACGTACGGTGCGGGGCGGTCGCGCGGCACGGGAGGTGCTCCGCCTCCGTCCTCTCTAGACTCGTTTTAGTCGGCCATTCAGTCACTCGCTAGTCGCATAAGCTTTCGTCAGCGTGCTATGACCACTACACGTTCCGAAACCTACACACGCACAGTTACCTTCAACTAAACCTCGAATAATCTTATCCCCTATCGCCATTGGGCGATAACTTATCATGTGCTGTGACGTGATGGCACATTTTAAACTTCTCGCGAGATAGGACTGAAGTGTTTAAAATTTAATTGTGTTCGGTTGGAGAATGTGCTCGCTGTGAGAATCACGGAGAAGAAAAGTGAATACCGTTACAAGTGCTCGACTAAAATGTCACTTTTTAAGAAAAAAACCCCGAAGTATACGCCTCCCCCGGTCCCTCCGACTCCAGCGGAGGAGTATCAGCAGAACGGAGCGGACAATAATAATGGAACACAGAAGTCCCAACTGGTATTTCATTGCCAACAGGCGCACGGCAGCCCTCTAGGACTCATCTCAGGCTTTTCCAATGTAAAGGAGTTATATGAAAAGATAGCTGAATGTTATGACTTTCCACCAGAAGATGTGAGTTTATATTAGTTTGAGTACCTACTTAGATATAGTGGTTATAATCTGTAAAAAAGGCTGCTTAGGCAGAGAAGCAAGACATTTCACACAAGTCCCAACATTACTTTTTCCTACTTAAGTAAGTTACTTATGTTTAGTTCGACCTCGCGTCCAATATATACACTAACACGTTTGGTGAGTGTGAAAAAGCGCCGTTAAATTAGGTAGGTATATTGAATTCCAGGAAATTGCTAATGCATAACTATTTCATGTAATTGATAATATCACTCGTCAACAAATAACCAATATTAAGTGAGCGGTTGGTTACCTACCTTTGTTTTGGTAGGAATTTCGTAAACTACAGGTAACAAATTTCGCTTTTGTAGATTTCACTGTGAAAGACTGGGACCTAGAGATTTACTTATTTGGACTAATTTGAATAATCTAGAGAACACAGCTGCATAGATTATTTTCATTGTAATTTCTACATAGTGCGGTCTATTCAAATTAGGTCCATTTCTGTGATTCACAAACATACAGTTCATATGGACAGATTCTGAAGAATTTAGGCGCGACATTTAATTAATTAAAATTTAAACATATTAATCTTTTTTGTATATTCTACTGAATACTGTAAACCGTGTTACCGACAAAAGCGATAAGAGAGTACATAATTTTATACTTACCTATATTTAGATTTACATCATTGTGCGTCATACATGCTTACATGAAATTCACACATTAGGTACCTATGTATTGGCCGCTGACCATGACCACTCATTCTATTATAATATCTTCATGTCGTAGACGTATTAAGGAATTTGCTGTATTACATTCTGGCTAACTGAATTAAAAAATAACGGACTCGCGCAAGTGAGGTTTCATACCATTCTATATCTCTATACAACATAATAGACCACGATAATTTTTGAAAGCAAAAAATTTCGGATTCGGAACAGGAAACCCCCATTTTTGGTATTGGCACCAAAAGGAAGAGAACACGTAAAAAATTTAGATTTTTAGGGGGGAAAACATTTATCGAGATTTTACGGTAAACTACAACTTCTAAGAGACGATGACATGCAGTCTCTCACGGCACATATAGTAAGGATCATTCTCAAAAAGGAATTTAAATTTTTAACGCGTCTTGCAAATGTGGAACTCATGAGCGTCGCATCCAATAAAAAAATCGCGCCCAAATCGGTTCATTCTCTTTTCGGTCGAGGGTTAAGAAAACTTTGACGGGCCCCCATTTCTTTGTTATTGAAAATAAAAAATAACAAAAAAATCATTTTTATTTATATTCCACTAAACGAGCTCTAGAGTAGAGAACGATGTGTCACATGCCGCGGTAAAAAAGAAAAAAAAGGGTCTCCTTTTCATGTACGGGAATATTGAAAATTTTTTATGCTTTAGTAATAACAAAATTACGTAATATGAAAACCTAAGAAACATATAAAATTACATACTAAATCTTTTTATAAAAGAGTCCCGATTGATGCAAATTATTTAAAAGATATAGAATTAAAATAGCCCTTACACTAAGTAACATTAAAAGGACAAACAAATGGACATTGCAGGTATGTGACTACTTACGAAAGAAAAGCTTAGAGCATCTAAAAAGAAAAGTCTTGGTGTCTGTAGACAGCGACAGCGTCCACCATGTACGTAACTTTACAGAGCTGCCAAAAATCCGTACTTGGGCCTCCCCGGTCGCCATGCGCAGCGTAGTACATTGTCAGTTAGTGTAAGTATGTACTTATATCAGGTACACATGTTCATTTTTACTGCAGTCGGTGACAAATTGTAATGTACTGGGTTGGTATGCGTCGGTGGTGCACGGTGAATGAGTCGGAGGAGAAACCTATAGAGAAATCACCTCTTGGCGGCATAATTAGTTTAAGGCTACAGGTGGCATGGCATACTTTCAGTTCCGTATTATTTGAAACCACATTTTCCCAATATAAACACAGTATTAAATTGAGTTGGATGAGTGTTCAGGTATTTTTACGAGTTTTCATCCTTATAAATATTTCAATCAGAGAAAAATCTTCCGCTATGTTCTCAACAAGATGAGCGTTTGCGCGTTCAAAAAAATAATTATCTTAAAGTTGCAAGTTTTACATGTGGAAATACGGGCATTTGATTTCTAGCACAAGACTTACCTATTTTTAGGTTAGCAGTAAATATAAAATTCATTTACTTTTATTCGTCGACTATTTAAAATTGGCAGTGGCTGCATTGTCATGTCAACGTCCGCTCTAAGATTGTGATATACACAAATGCAGTGTCATATCCTAGTCTCATAATTTGATATACCTACATAATTCACAGAAACCCAATATGTAGATGCCAAAAGTTAACTTCAAATGTTGTTCATCACCCTATATACAATACCAATCAATGACGTTTATGTCGCAGGTTGAAGAAAGCAGTAATGGAGATTGCTCAGCTTCCATACATGTTTGGCCTAAAGACCAATAATCATGAAAAATTGTTTCCTAGATTCGAAATTATATATAAATTACTGTAGAAACGAATATTATTGACGTACACCCCTGAGAACTTCTATAAACCATATACACTGAACATATTAAAATAATAAAAAACAAATAATTTATATAGTAAACTAGTGAAATCAAGCCAAGTACCGAAATTATGGATTAGATTCAGGTATATAGAGCATGTAGATTAACAGATAGTTGCCTGTTTTTAAAATTAATGCATAAGTGTAACTTTTAAAATCAGGTGTCATTTCCGGTTATAATAAGGTAGGTAGGTACTCTGTGACAGAAACTGTGTGATGATTGTGAATGAGCCACAGATTAGAGAGAATTTTTAAACTCTCATTAACATAAGAAAGCTAAGAGATTTAGCTTCTATAGCCATATATTCAGTAGCTTCATTATTCTTGTTATGTTTTTAAGATAACCAATTTTTAGATTTTTAGTGTAACACACCTTATAATTTTATTTATTTATTAATTTATAGTCAGGGAACGTCCTTAAAGTCTAACATATATACAGATTATAATGTGTTTATGGAGGTGTTTGGCGAAAAATGTATGGCAATAGACTTTATGATGTCGCCTACCATCTATAATAATTGTCTGAGCACATTTGCATCTAGTGAAAATGATAATATAGTTGTGGATATTAATACCACAGTGCAGTGTAATAAAAAATGATTTATTTTATCGATCTTTACAAGATAGATTTGCTTTTATGTTATATAAACAACTTCGATCAGTCTTTGGCTGAATGTTACTACACCTGAATGTTACTATAGCCATTAAAAATGATTCGTATGTTTTCCAAACCGGTAAAATTTTAAAGTCCTTTTTAAAGTAAATATATTATACAAAGGTGTCCGTTGAAATCTAATGACTGTAAATTAAATTATAAATTACGCCAAGAATTACCGTGTATGTCAATATTTAAAAAAAAAAATATAGCGTGTTTTCCCAAACACGCTCTAATTGCTTCGATTCAAAATATTTACCTAAGAACGTAAGTTTAGGTACACGGTAACAATCCTGTTAATAGCTACAATTTTAGTGACCATCAAAGTTTAAAACAATATAACGTAAGTACGTTTTCACTGAATTTCGTGAAAAAAAAAAAGATTTATTTGTGGGAGATAATAATAAATAACCAAAGTCGGTTATTGATTTTTCGATATTTTAGCTTAAATGTGAAAAAACTGTAAATTTATACAAAAGTTGTATTTTGAAATTAATTTTTTTTCGATAGAAGTTTTAGTTCCCCTGTAAATCGCAACGAACCGTTTTTCCCATCACTTACCATTACCATTTTTTCTTTTTTTATGTGTTCTCTGCCTTTTGATATGGGTAAAACCCTTAACTGATGCTCTGAAGTTTATAACAAATGTAAGATATTGACTAGATTTCTACTAGCGGTCGTTTAACGTTTTCAGGGTTTCTTATAGAAACGCAGAAAAGTAAACATAAAATAAATCTAGAGCATATTCACGAGTACGGAAGTTTTCGATAAAGATTAATACTTATTCGTTTATATATAGCGCTATCTATTTATTTTAAAACGCACCATCCTTTTTTATTGTCAATTTACCAGCCAAACTTTAAAAAATTGGCAATACTCAACAACAAAGGTTTATGTTTGTTTGAAGTATGAACGTAGTTAACAGAGCGCATTTGAAGGATGTTAGTTTTTTAAAACAATATCTCTCATCAGGCATAACGTTCCAACCTCTATAAAATATAATTTTTTTAAAGAAAGCAAAAAACAATCTTGGAAACAAAAACAAATTGAAAAAAAAGCAATGGCCCTAGTTTTATTTATTATTTATTTTTCATAATAATAAAAAAAAATTACATCACTAGTTACATACCCCAAGCGGTTGGAGCTAGTCTTCACATTAAGTATGTTGGATTATGCATCTTATTGATCATCTATTCCATTCAGTTAGAAAGGGACGCTAAAAAGGAAGCTTCATCTACCCCATTAAGAATGGTTTCGTTGAGTATAATTCTGTAATATTTGTTCTTAAAAAATATTTGAACACAATGAAATGATAAGCCACCAACGTCGGCTTCTTTTGCAACATTATGTGCCAAAAATTTTTTTTTACTTTACTAATGATATAGTCATAATGTTATGATGTATTTTTACTAAAAACTACCAATATGATCATATCATCCTATCCTATTTTAATTTTGGCTCATGACTTTGTTTTGACTAGGGGTGAAACCAAACTAATAATCAGAAGTAAATAGATTCAATGTAACATCTTAAGAACGACAATTTTTTAACGCCCTTCTTAATCGTCCTCCACGAAGAATTTAAGCTATGCTTGTTTTTTTTTGGGTTTTAGGTACAGAAATAATAAATATTTGTTGATTGATATGATTATTATGACGACAAATGATAACTTTATACACGTCAGTACTGTATTTGCTTTGTAATCCATTTCCGCACATATGATGTGATTGATTATTGCATTTTTATTATCAAACTAGCTGACCCGCAAAAAAAGGA